ATGTACAAGTACAAATTTTCTATGTTGAATGTTATCATTATGTATATCTAAAATGTACTCTTAAAATTAATTAAAAAGAAAAAAACCCTTCACACCATGTTGTTAAAAGCTATGTCTTTGGGAGGAGAAGGGACAAGGAAGGGGAGCCATTTCTGTATAAATTTGATGTAGTGGTATTGCCCATCAGTTGAGGGTTCATTTGCTTGATTCAGATGAAAATCACAAATTAGCAAAGTGCAGCTTTGCTAGCAGCTCTGGGCTCTGCTCATGTAACACCATGACTTTGGTGTTACAGCTGGGGGACTCTGAGTGCCTGCACACCCTCGGCCCTTACTGTTACAGCTTTGGGGCTTGAAGTGACCCCATCAGTTCCTCAGCAGCTAACCCTTGGCTACTCTCCTACTTAGCAGCTTCTGCTGGTCTCATCCATCGTGGTACATGGCCAGCCAATTGTTGCCAGTTGGATGCTGTCAACACCTTCAGTCTCTGGTGCATTTAGGGCTACCAGCCCTAGTGTTTATAGCTCTCTTTCTCTTTTAAACGTGACCCACTCTGTCCACACTACCCAAGAATTCCAAGTAGATTTACAAGACCTCTCAAGCCCATATTACCCCCCAAAAGAATCACGCTACAGATTAAAGCAAGGTTTTGGAGAGCACAAGTCACTACAGCAGAGAGAGAGAGAGACCTTCTAGAACAACCCAGGCAGCACTGCTTATATAGAACAGCAACAGGTCTGTGATTGGTCCAAATGTGAGGCTGCTGATTGGTCCACAACTGAGGCTACTGATTGGTTTAAATTATTCTAAATCCAAGGCTGCTGCTTGGTACAAATTCAAGCCTGCTGCAGTTAGGGAAGACATCTCTGGGTTAGGTGTCCAGGATAGCCACAGGTATAGCCATCAATCAGCGCACACTCTTCTGGCTGTCTGTGGAGCCAAGGAAAAGTTGGGTCGAGTCTGCTCTAACTCAGTGGGAAGCAACGCTGAGTTAGGAGATACTTGTCTGGGGTCCAGTTGCTCTAACCCTAAAGAAGACATCAAGGGAAAGGGAAAGGCTGGTGAACAGGGACCAGCAAAGGAGGCTCGTGATATGGGGATGCAGCCAGTGCTTCCTTCAGCCCTGTGTTGCCACTGCTAGGGTGGCTCCTGTGCACTAGCTGTGATCTCTAGAAAGTTCTAGGAAAACATATCTCCTTGGCCCCAGTGGGTCCTGAGGGATAAGGTGGGGTGGGGAGAACAAAGGTGTGTGTGTGCATGCATGCGTGTGTGTGTGTGTGTGTGTGTGTGTGTAGGAGTTTGTGTTACCTCCATGAAGTGTGAATCTCCTGAAAGAAGCTAGTAGAAAGGAAGAAGGGAACCGAACAGGAAGAACAAAACTTCAAGGGCTTGTTTTCCACTGCTTGGGCAGGACCTAGTCAGCGGGTGGACCAGGAGTGGGCTGTTCAGCTGGGTGCTCAGAGCAGCCCTGGGTTCTCCCAGGGAGACCCCTGTGTTCCACACCCCCAGTGTGACTCAGCTCAGCAAGAAGACCTGGCTGCCCACTGTGATGCACCTACTACAGACCACAGAATTCAGCAGTGCAGTCCCTCAGCATGGGCTGATCCTCATGACAGCTCTGAGAGGAAGGGAATGGCATTCCCCTTTTACTGATGAGGACACTGAAGCTCAGAGAAGTTGTCCTTTTCCGGAGCAGCATAAGAAGTCCACCATCAAGCCTCTGGAAACTGTATAAACTTTCTGTGGACAGTGTGACAATATAGTGGAAGCCCTCAAAGTGTGCCTACTTTTGGCATCGTGACTACACTCTCACAAACAGAAATGAGAAATACTATAATCAGGCTGGCCGGTGGTGGCAGGTGGTGCAGGCCTGTAATCCCAGCACTCGGGAGGGTGAGGTAGGAGGATCCCAGAGAATTTGAGGCCAGCCTGGAATAATGTGTTCAAGGCCAGCCTCAGCTGCATAGAGAGACCCTGTCTCAAAAAAAAGGAAAGAAAGAAAGAAAGAAAAATCAGGCCAGGCAGCCACAACTCAGCTCTGTAGTATACTCCATAACAGTGAAAAACCAGAGCCACATTTCAACCCCATGCAATTTGTTAAATAAATTCTAGAAATAGAATATTATACAGCCATGAAAACTAATGGGTGAATACTGTTCACTGGTGATGGGAGCATTCACAAATTGCAGAGCGAAAATTGGAAGTCTCTGTTCTAGTTCTGGCTCAAATACTCATTAAGCTTTTCTTAATTTTAAAATGAAGATAAATCAGGGGTTACAGAGCTTTCATAAGAATTATAAGCAGATGAGTTGATTTGTGCAAGCACTTATATTAATAACCTGGCACATAGAAGACCTGTAAATGTATGAGCTATTGTGTTGCTTTTTGGCCTTTTGGCTAAGATCAAGGGTCATATCTGTTCTTATCAGTTTAACATTAGCTATTATTATATCTATGGGCTTAGAAATCTGGGGCCACTGAGTTCCATCCCTGGTACCCCCAAAAAAAGAGGTTTGGGGCCATTATTTATTCATTTATTTTTTTCTGTCTGGAGCGCCCCTAATTACACAAGTATTAAACTTCTTGAAGGCATCCCATATTCGCTGACGCCCCACTGATTTTTTAAAATTTATCTTTGTCAGGCTAGTGGTGTAGCTCATTGGCAGAATGCTTGCCTAGCATCAGACAGACCCCAAGCTTCTTCCCCAGCACTATGAAAAAATCTTCAGGTTTTATTTCGGATACATTCTACTTCTGTGTCTTCACCTTCACTAGTCTTTTAGGAGGGGATATTGGAGGTGGAACCCGGGGCCTCCTTTATGCTAAGCACACACTCCATCCCTGAGCTACACACCTGGCCCCCACTAATCTTTTCTTCTGTCACTAATCCCACCTTGTGTAGTTTCTTGCACACTAAAGTTTGGCTTCTAGAAGTTTGGTCCTTTTTTTTTTTTTTGCTTTTGAAATTTGTTTTAATTTTTAATTGGCAAAATTGAATATATGGTGTATAACATGATGTTTTGATGATTTAGTATATAGATACATTATAGAATGGGTAAATCAAACTAATCAACATGTATCAACTCACATATTTATTCTTTCTTTAGTGGTGAACCCCTAAAATTTCCTCAGCTATTTCCAAGTGTATGATATATGGTTGTCAACTATATTAATATCTATATATGTGAAACCTATTCCTCCCATATAGCTGAAATTTTGTGCCCTTTGCCAACATTTCTATATTGTCCCCACCCCTTGGCCTCTGGTAACCCCATTCTACTCTGTGCTTCTATGAGTTTGGTTTTTTTAGTCTATGTATGAGTATCGGTAAGATCATGTGGTATTTGTTGCTGGCTGACATAACGTACACCAGGTCATGCATGTTGTCACAAATGGCAGGTCTTCCTTCTTTTGAAATGTGGAATAGTACTCCCTTATATATATACACCGCATGGTCTTTGCCCACCCATCCATCCATGGACACTTGGTTTGATTCCATTTCTTGGCTGTCATGGATAGTACTGCAATGAGCATGAGAGGCAGATGTCTTTGCAATGTACTGATTTCATGTCCTTTGGATTGATACCCAGAGGTGGAATTCCTGGGTCATAAGATAGCTCTATTTTTGCATTTTTGAGGAGCCTCCACACTGTTTTCCATAGTGGCTGTACTAATTTACATTCCCACCAACAGTATGCAAAGGTTTGCTTTTCTCTACATCCTCAGCAACATTTGTTATCTTTTCTCTTTTCAATGAGAGTCATGTAACAGGAATGAAGTGGTGTCTCCTTGTGGGTTTCCTTTGCATCTCCCTGAAGGAAGCATTTTTTTATATACCTATTGCCCCTTGGTAACACTCCCTCTTCCCTCTCAGAAAAAAAATATGTGGCATGTGAATTAGATGGTAATTTTTCTTAAATGTGTGTTACTTATATGCAGAAAACCCAAAAAAGCATGAAGAAAATGAAACTTAAAGACAATAAACAAATCAATAGCTTTTTAAACTCCTCTGTATCCTCAGAAATAAGCCCTGCTAATATTTGAGTATAGACATTCAGTCTTATTTATGTGCTGGAGCCAGTAAGGGGTGAGGTATATTTTAATGAAGGTAATTTTTAAAGGATTTATGGAAAGCATGCTGGAAAAAATTTTTTTTATTAAATTCTTTTATTGGTACATTGTAGGTATACAACACAATTACATTTCTCATTGGGAATTGTACCTTTACATAATGCATCTTGGTTCTTATTTTTTCCCCATTCCTAGCCCTCCCTTCATGCCCTCCACCTTTCCCTATTTACAAAGACTTTATTTCCATTTTTTCCATTTCTCATCATTTGTCCTTTCCCTTCTTTCCTTTCCCCTGTCCCTCCCACTACCCCTACCCCTTTGGACCTTTTCTTCCTATTTTACGTTGTCAATTATTCATTCTAATCATTGGTACATTTTAGGTATACAGTATAATGACATTCAGCATTGGAAATTTGCACCTTTACATAGTCTCTCTTGGTTCTTATTTTTCACCCTTGCCCAGCCCTCCCTTCAACCCCTCCAGTCCTCCCTATTTACAAAGATTTTGTTCCTATTTTTCCATTTTCTCATATTAATCCCATTCCCTTCTGTCCTTTCCCCAGCCCTCCCACTTCCTTCCCCTTTGCCCCTTTTCTTCCTATTTCACATGACCTATTATACATTTAGTCCTTATTTACACTTTCAGTTTCTCACACCAGAGAAACTATTTGGTATTTATTCATGTGTGTCCTATTTATTTCACTTAAGAGTATCGCCTCAATGTGCATCCACTTAGCTATAAATGTCTCTAATTTCTCATTTTTTATGGCTGAGTAGTACTCCATTTTATTAAAAAACCACATTTTCTTTATCCAGTCTCCAGTTGATGGGCATTTGGGCTGTTTCCAAGTTTTAGCTATTACAAACTGTAGCATGCTGGAAAAAATTTTCCAGAGTAGCCAGGCATGATGGAGCAGGCCTACAATTCCAGCCACTCAGGAGGCTGAGACAGGAGGATCACAAGTTTGAGGCCAGCCTGGGTAATTTAACAAGACTTTGTCTCAAATTAAAAGAAAAAGGGTGGAGGTTTAGCTCAGTGATAGAGAACTCACCAAACATGTGTGAGTCCCTGGATTTGCTCTCTGGCACCACTTAAAAAATGAAAAAGAAAATATCCAAAGTAAAAAAGAATTTATAATGGAAAGTAAGTAGAGATTTCATCCCTGTCCTGGTCCTCCAGTCTGCCTCTTGCTCTTCCTGGAGGTAACTGATGCTGCTACTTCTTATAAGAGACTTCCAGAGAGTCTGTGCTTATCCAATTGTGTTTGCACATGTGTGTGAGGGTAGAGATGTGTGTTTGATATCAAAATGTATCTGCAAATCTGTAAATGGCCTTGTCTCATAACCACCCTCTGGAATGTTCCTCCCTGTCAACCCATACACACTCTTCCTGGCTAACATTTTAATTGCCACATGATGGAAGGATGCACCTTCATATGTTGAACCAATTTCCAGTTTGTTGGGAATTTCCATTGTTAACAATTTTACATGATTGGGACCACTCTATGTTGTTAAACTGGTAAATGTTAGAGGCTCCCTCGGAAAACAAGCCCTGATTTGCAGTGTTTGCCAATTTCCACAGTGTAAATAATCCCACTGGGGTCTATTTCAAGCTACCAACATGACAAAACCACCAGCATGTCATGGAAGGAGCACAGTGCTCACCAGCCTGCACGAGCTACCCCAAGACACCCAACCCTACAGGTTATTGTTGGGAGCTATATCCTCAAGTCTTTGCTTAAGAGGAAATTCCCCCAAGTGGATTGGCTGTGTCACATATATACAACCCCAAGGCATTTGATGAACAATACTGAGTTGCCCTCCAGAAAGATGCTACGGTTTTATGCTCCATGAGGCTAAAGTAAGAGATGCCTGAGATGTCTCACCCCAGCCCCCAGCAATGGCCATCAGCATGGCTTTTAATCTTGCCTGTTGGATAGATGGAATGAGAGTGGAATGATAGATGGAATGATAGTGATGGAATGATTGCTGATTTCATTTGCACTGCTTTGGGTGTATATCTTTTTAACAAAACTGATGGTCAAGTGACAGGTTATTTGGGCAACTCCAAGGATATTTCTTGGAGCCTTTGGGGATTATAGGTGTCCAGGAAGCAATTTGGGAATCTTGGCTTTGGGCCATTGCTTTTCTCGTTGATGAGATCCAATTGGAGATCCATTCATCCACCAAACGGCACCAATAGGTTTCCCAGAAGGCATCTTGTTGTGTTGTTCAAATGCATATTGGAATGTTCATCCTGTCCTCTATGCCACCACCATGTTCTGACTTTTATCTCAAGTCAAGATACCTGAAAAACCACAGCATTCACTTAGCATACTGTGGGAAATGATACCATCCTAGAACTGTACTTAGGAAAGGCAGAGCTGGGCAGCACGAAATATCCTAGGTTTTTTATAAATAAAGGAGATATCCTGGAGAGGTAGAAGGCCTGCAAAATGAGGCTGGAGTGGGAGTCATGATAGTACAGCTCATACAGGATTGTGGTGAGAATTAAATGAGCAAATGTATTTTAAGTACTTAGCATAGGGCCTAGCACATAGGAGGTATGCAATAACAAACAATCATCATCATCATCATCAACATCATCATGCTGTCAGAGTATACTATAACCATGAGGTTACATGTAATCTTCCAGGTTTCCTCTACCCCCCCTGCTTTGGATGGATCAGGGTGACCACCATAGATCACATATGTCAACTCCAATTTAGTCTTCTCTAGAATGGAATGGACCCTCATTGAGTTCTTTGACCTCAGTGCCATCATTTGACCCAACACAATGACTTTCCTCAAGCAGAGCTAACGGCTTCTTTAGGGAGCTTCCTTCAATAAGTCTTTTCTTATTTGTGTGGGTGAGGACTAGTCTTCTAATGGGGACACTGGCTCCCATCCCTCCCCAGTCAGTTTTTCCTGCCTGAGATGGCTTCATGAGTTTTTCAGTATATAGCCTCCCAGCCACCCATCTATCCATCCATCCATTCATCCATCCTTCCTTTTATCCTTTTAATGAATTGATTACTTAGGTCTGCTCTCAGCTTTACAAAACAGAATCACTGAAATCCATGTGCTTGCCAAGGAGTCTAATTTCAAGCAAATTCAAACAAACAGCAATCTTCCATAGCTTTGATCTTCACCATCTATCTGGCCCCTGGCCACCTTTCTGATTTTATCTGATTTCATTTCTCTTTCATGCATCTACCCTGTTCCAGCACCTCCACTGATTTTCACTCAGTTTTCACCCTCTAAGCTATTTCCCCATTCGGGGCTTCCCTTAGGCTACTCATTCACTCAGCCCAGAGGGCTTTCTTCTCACCTCTTTGCCCAACCTGTTCCTTTTCATCATTTCCAGATTAAATGGCATTTCCTTCAAAGAGAATTGAGCGGCTCCACCCCAACCAAAATTATGGCTGCTTCATTATGCTTCCCTTGTGGACTTACCATAATGCGTAAAGACATATTTTGTTTGTGTTTTGTTTGTTTAATATTTGTCTCCACTGTAAGATTGCTACCATCATAATGATGGGGTCTTGTTTGCTGCATTCATGGGGATGCCTGGCCATGTTTATCCTCAAGAATTTGTTGAGTGATTCAGGAAATATTTAGCCAAACTCAGCTGAAAGAAACAATTGTAAGCATGGATTGCTTCAAAGACTGGCTGACCACCTTCCTTCCCAGATATTCCCCTCTGTCCTTGGGGCAGGGGACAGCCAGATGAGAACCAGCTGGGAGCAGGGAAGACCTTACCACAGGGCTTGAACTGAAGGCTTGAACTCATGGCAGGAAGCACAGATGTGCCAAGGGACAGGATCAGAACATAAAGCCCCTCTTGTGGCTATGGCAAGAATGTTGGTTATTATATAGTGGCCACACTTGTAAGAACCTTTGTGAGAGTTTTATACTGGAGCTAGGAGGTAGGTTAGACCCCAGGCTCTGAATTTAGGTGGGCTGTATACTAATCCATCTCCCATCAATTGTGTGACTATTGGCCAGTTGTGGGCTTGTCTTTCCTCATTAAGAGGATTTAGAAATACTGCGTACTTTGTAGAGGTATAGAAGAAATAGTAAGTACCCAAAAGATGCTAGCTACTATTATAATTCTCTTAGGTAGCAGGTTTGTTCAGTGGCATGGTTATTGAGAGTCATGTAACTGACCAAATTTCCCTTTTCATCCTGGCTGCTAGGAAGCTAAACACCAATTCTATGGTCCAACCACAGGACATCAGATTATGTTTTGTGAATGGACTTTATTTGTGGCTCCATGTAGACCCCAACTTTGTTATTTTTTTTCTCATTGTACTGTTTATGTGGGTAGCTTGCTCTAACTTATGTGTTCTTGGAAACCACCTCTAATCTTTTTGAAAGTAATCTGCTATCTTGTAGAAGTTTCTGCTTGCACAAGGCTAATTTTGTCTCCTAGTCAAGACTGCAGACCCCTAGAGGTAGAGAGGTCACCTCTGAGATCCCCTGCCCAGAGCCCTGCAGTTGAGCAGTACATTCCAAACTGAGTGTATGAGCTGGTGGAATGGCCAGAGGGTTAGAAAAAGAAGCTCCCTGCCTTGACCAGAGGAGAGGAGACAGTGGCCCGGGAGACAGCACTTGCTGTCTCAAGTGTCCATAAAACCGAAAACAACACACACAGAAAGGCAGTGACCACTGTGTGGATGCCCTGTGCCTCAAGACACAGAGAACAGCAGGGATGCCTGGAAGGTGCTATGACCACAGGGGGCCTTTGATGATTCCAGGAACTAACCGTTTCCTCACCAGCACTGTGTCACCTCTATCGTCAAACATGTAGGGCATAGCCCACATTGGCCAGACTCTCTTTCCTCTGATTGTGGCAGGAGACAGCACCTGGGCCATGGTTTATGGATGGAAGTTATGTCACTTCCAGCCCTGGCCCCCGAAACTTCTCGCACTCTCTATTCACCAGCTGAGCAGAGAGAACTTTGACGTCCTGGCAATGGGCAGAGCCACGTACACCGGGAGCCTTGGTCCCCAAATGACTGCATGGGCAGAGCCTGCATCTTTGCACCCACCAGTCTCCCTGAGGGAGAGTGTGAGCAAAGAAACCCAATGCCACTAGGGCGTAGGAGTCATTTGTTACGGGAGCCTTACTGGTGAATACAGTGAGACCTACTAAGTGCCAGCCGGCAATGGATACACATCATTCCACTTGGCTTACTGACAGGCCTAAGAGACAGGTGTGACATTTAGTCTGCTTCACAATGGAGAATATGGTTCAGAGGCACAGGATAACTTGTCCCCTAGATCAATGGAGCTGCATGCTTGAATCTCATTTCCATTACTGATTGCTTTGACACATCTATTTCTGGTTTTATACCACCAGCCTGGATAGAAGGACATTAAAGAAACTGCTAAAGAAAACTGAAATTTTTTTACTAGGTTGTCATTTACTACATCATAAAAAAACCTTTTTGGGAGAATCATGAAATAATTTTAGCTCAGGCCTAGTATTAGGAAACTGCTTCTTTGATCAACTGGTACATATATTTTTATTTTCCACAGACAACAAACCATGAAACAAGCATATTTCCTTCTTTGCTTTGGCTGCTGGGAAGCTCAAGGCAACATTTAAGGTCCAACTCTAGTGGTGGTAAAGATCACTGGAACTTGTGTTTTGGGGACAAACTTTACTTCTGTCTCTTATTTTCCATAGAGCTTGAATTTCTGCTTGATTGGATTCATTTATGTAGCATTTTTGCATCTCTGAATGCATTCGTGGAAGGACCTCAAAACACCCTTTGGACTCAAGCAATGAACAAAGAAGTATGTGACTTGAGCAGGGTTCCACAGCTATAAATAGGGCTAAGATTTATACCCAAGGCTAGATGCAGAAGCCCAGGCCTATCTAACTTTCCAGGTCTGGACCCTGAGTTATCCTTAAGTGGGGACCAGGAGCAACTCCTGCAAGATCAGACTTGCCTTCTCCCAGATGCTGGGCTTCAGAGGATCCTGCTATGGCCTGGTGTTTGGGATATACCAGCGATTAACAGCCAGTAGCCATGGGCCCTGTGGTCCTACAGATGAGTTGGCTCATTAAATTTTTTTAAAAATGAAAAGTTGCAATCATTTAAAAATAAGATCTCCTATTTTAAATAGTCCATGTTTTATATTTTCTCATGAAAAATTGGACAATCAAGCAACTCTGGCCCTCCAGTCCCCCATGGGGGCCAGGACTGCCCTGTTCTAATGGGGCACCAATTCTTGAGTGTGGCCCAGTGCTCTGGCCGGGCCTGCCTCACTTACCTGTGGCCTCTGTCCACCCTTATTGGCATGAGGCTCAGTCCTGGTAATGACGATGGGCAGCCATTTTGCCTCCTTGAGGCCCCTGCTACCCTGTGCAACCTCAGGAGGTCCTCATTGTCTTAGGCACCCTCAGCTCCCCTGGACACTCCTCCCCACCCCATTTGGTTCCTCCCATCTTTTGTTTCCCACCCTTCAGACTTGAGCTGTCTCATCCCTTGGGAGGGTCTCCTGGGCTCCTTGTCCACTTTGCCCGCGTGTTTTTCTGTGATTATTCCTTCTGATCCTGTGTGTACTCTGGATGTGGCACATGCTCACCATGCTTGCCGAAGGAACGAGTGAGTTGGGGAAGGAGCCGGCAGAGGAAGAGCTGGGTTGAAATTGCCCAGGTCCACAGGAACCCAAATAGCAGAACTGAGCGGCTTTGAACACAGGCCTTGAATTCTGTGTTCTCTACTTTGGTAAAGAAAGTCCCAACTCAGGTCCCTGGACTACCTCTGTCCCCAGGCTGCCTCTGCAATGCCAGGCTCAGCCAATTGAGTTGGCATCAGCCTGGCTCACTCCCCAAGCTGACATCTCGGGGAGGAAGATGTCACAACCCTAGACAGTCACATAAGCAACCCAGTCAGGCTGGTTCGCCTTTCAGGGAAGAGCAGCCCAGAAGGTGACTTGCTTCTTCTGCTTTCTTCCCTCAGCCTCTCCTGATGTCCTTGCCTCCCCCAGTCTGCTCTTTGATTGCTGCTGCAATGAGGACCGGGAAGAATGTCGTAGATGGTGCATCTGTTGTTCTGGAAGACTATGAAGGCACATTCAGATATGTGCTCTGTGGGCGTTTGGTAGGCTGGGGCCTCTGGAAGCTTAATAATGGGGGAGGGTGCAGAAGAAAGGAGAGATGAGAGGGAGACAGGCAGATGGATGGATGGAGAAGGAGACACTCAGAGGAAGGGAGAAGGAGAGATGGACCAAGAAAAAGGAGAGAGAGAGAGAGAGAGAGAGAAAGGGGCTGGGGGTCTGCAGCACTGCCAC